ACAAACAAACAAGTAGGGTTTCTGGGTTTTTAAAAATTTTTTTTATTTATTAACATTATCAAGAGTCGTATAGCTTTTTCGATTGCGACCATCTAAAATAAGTTGAGCATTAGGTGTACACTTATCGCAGTGGATAGATAAATAAATAATCAGTGAACTCAAATGGTTATACTGTTAACTTCTGTTTATTATTAAACGACGTTTCGGCCCATACAAAAACAAGTTTCAAGGCCCTCATCAGGCATCAGGTTCAAATAAAATAATTGACCGCTCAAATGGGTCTACATCTAGTGCATTGCCTGACGTGACCCATTTGAGCGATTAATTATTTTATTTGAACCTGATGAGGGCCTTAAAACTTGTTTTTGTACGGGCCAAAACGTCATTCAATAATAAACAGAAGTTAGCAGTATAACCATTTGAGTTCACTGATTATTCATCTAAAATAAGGTTTTTGCATTGATTGCTTTTCTTTGTAATAAAAGTGTTGTAGTACGAATGTAATAATTTTGATTTCTGTATACTTAACCAATTTTAAAAATAAGTGAAATAAGTAGGTTTTTTCTGGAGAAAACTCTTGTATATGTCTTGACGTATAAGAAAAAGAATGTTCCTGAAAGTGTACGTAGCGAAATACTACAATTTTATTTTAAAGAAATATTATTAAATGAATTTTTCTTGTTTTCCAATGTAGATGTATTTATTTATTTGAAAATGCTTTTTACTTTTTAATATAAAAGAGATTCGGTGATTGATGTGTTAAACTATAACAGTGGATTCTAGGATTTTCTTAAATGATTGACTTTCTTTTTTTGTCAAACGTTTCTTTATACGAAACATAGAGTGTTTGCTCAATAAATTTACCAAACTATGTTTTTCCAAGCATGCCGACAACTGTGTAAAAATTTTTTTATTAAAAACCAAAACATCCCAATTTTTTTCAAAATTTTATCACTGACACAATTAATGATAATTATTGTTGCTGCAACAGAACAATTTTTTTTAACAGAAAAAAGCTTACATGTTACAAGTAGAAATACTGTCTTATAACGATCGGAATAAAAAAAAAGTTGTTTTAAGGTAATTGTTTCCCAATATATAGGTAAATCTTATGCATAGATATACAACATACGTGTATCATTTCGGTTTCAAAATATCAGAGTGGAATGTGAATGCCTTTGCGTATACTTATACATACTTGAACATATACATCCATCTACTTGTATTAATGTGACAATGTGACGTTGCCTCATTCACTATACATACTTGGTTATCTTCCAAAATCAAACAAAGAGCAATTTTTTTATTACTATTACTTTAAAACTATGTGGTGAAAGATTCTTAAAAAAATGTATGTTTCCTTATTGTCTAAAGTAGTTTTCAGTAGTTTTTCAATTATTTATAGATATGCAGTAAGTTACACTTTTTAAAATAATGAGGCTATGAAGTATTTGCACCGTTGCTTCAATGTAATAAAAGTGATTCTTTGACGATAATGTTTTAGTAACGACGTGGTAAGTCAGTCTTACAATTTTTACACATACTTTTCGACGCTTATATAAGTTTTGCTGACGATTTCGTACCTTTTTAGATACTTTAGATTGAGAAAACAACTACCTTAATATAAAATTATGGGATTTTATACAAAGGGCTGGTCTTCAGAGTATATAAGTCTAAAGCTTAGTTGTTAAATGCGCTGTAAAGTTTGGTTTGCCATCCCCCAAGAACCTATAAAAGTTATATAGTTCGGTTTATTTAAAAAATGTATGTGTTGTTAATCATAATACAAAGTAGTAACAGATATTCAAAAAATTAAGTATTTATATCAGGGGCTTATGGTAGAGCAACAACAAAGAAACAGATATGAAGAGGTACAAGTTCAACTCTTTTAAGTCTTCAATCTGTCGAAACTGCCTTGCATTGCTGATACTTGCTTGAGCGAGACTTAATTTTGCTTCCCAAGCCACTCATTACATTTTTCCCTACAGGTATATTTTCGACTCTTTACATATGGACTATGGATGAGCTGTATGATTTTTTTGCATTAAATAGAAAATTCTATTACATTTATATTACTACACTAGTTAGAATATTAAACTAGTCTTCTATTCTAAAGTAGTAGTATTTATCTACCAAGTAGTATTAAAAAAACGTGAAAAACAAAAAATTTTGTTATAAACCGTAAGAAGAAAAATTTTAGGACGCCATGAGTTTTTGGTATCTTTTAGACTTTTGGTATCAGATTCTCCAATTTAAATTTAAAAAACGTTTGGACTGCGTATAAAAAACTTTTTAAAGATAGCTTAAACTGAACACAATTCTATCAGAAGATTTTAATTTTGAAAGTTATACTTCTACAGGCGCATTGTGCATAAAGGTGAATGCAGGATTTCAGATTGGAGGCCTTGACAAAAAGTGAGATAAACGTAGATCTTGCTCGATTCTCTCCCTTCGCCTCTTCCCCTATGACATAATTCCGGTCCCCTTTACACCACATAACGCCACTACACACTATACCGTACCAAATATTTTGAGTTTTGTAAATCTATCTTTTTCTTTTGACAAATTTTAAAAGAAAAAAAAAAAATAAAAAAAAAAAAAGAAGCAAAAAACACGTTCCAAAGAGATTTAAGCCACAACAATCTCATAATATTAATAAAACCATTACATGGTATGAGCAGGCCTGACATGTGTTTTCGTTACCTGCATGATATCGTGTAGTTCGTTACTAATTTTGAATATGATTTGAATTTACTGAATAATCATTTATTTTGTATAACTAGAAATTTAATTAAGAAATAAACTCTACGAAACTCACTTATGTTATATATATAATAAACTAACTTTTTTATTTAGTAAAATGTTTCCTTTGAAAACTTAAAAATTTGTATATTAAAGAAGCGCAGCTTTCCTATATAATAATAAATATTTATTTCTATACAGATAACTTAGTACTTTGACAATGAATAAAAAACTGATATTGCAATTTCTTATTATAGAAGTTTACAAAAACAAAACAAAAATTATCTTTTGTACTGAACAAATACAATAGTCGATTTTTATTGTGTTTTCTTCTTTCACAATTAACCCATTCATGATAACAGTGATTTGTTATTTTTTGACATTAAGGCATTATTCACATAGTTACCGGGGGACAAGTTCAGAGAAGTAAGAGGAGCGGAAATATGAGCAGTTAAGCTAGCAATGGTTTTTTTATCTGGATGTACTTACGTACATGCTCTTACGCATAGTTGATCCTTTTTCTCTAAATTTATTTAAAAACCTACTAGTGTATCTATTTAAAAGTTTGAAAGCTTTATCTTAAAGCAATCTTTCGTAACAAAATAGTTGGGAGATTCTTACACATCATATGAATTTATTTTTAACGGATTTTTTCATAAGGTTACATGTTAAATTGCGATTTTTTTAAATTAAACATTCATCAAATAGTAGTACAGTCAAACAAGCTTCAATTTTTCTCGGTATTTTCTAATGCTATTTTAAATATACGTTCGAGTGTGATAAATGTCCTAAAGGGATATTCACTATCATGTAATTGAAGAAAGCGATACTGTAGGACGGTTTTACTAAATTTCTCAGATACAATTAAGTATATTTCAGATATTTAATGTAAATTAGCAATTAGTATGAATGACAGATGTGAGCGTGTCGCTACAGATGTTATCAGCATAGGCAGAAGGGAGTTTTTTTGAAATCACCGGAAGATTCGATGAAAGTGCACAGTCTTGTTCTGAACAGCCTATACATTATTTTTACTGTATTGTGCCATTATACATTGTTTATTGTCTTTAACGTCTTACACAACAATTCAAACGTTAGTCAATTAACGTAAATGTACTCATTTCCTTTATAATAGGACCACCTTTGTACACAATACTGTTTCATAAAAAGTATTTTCATACTCATGATTACACTGTTTGCAATATAATTTTATAAAAGTAAAACTTCATACTTTGATACCCAAGCGTCCACTGTCCACTTTTTTGATGTGTTCTCTTTACTCTATATTTAAGCTTGTTCAGTAAAGAATTTGTATTACATGATTAAATTAAATCACATCACAATTCCACGCATCATAATATTGTAAGTGGTTGGCTTTACGACTAAAACGTCTTGTAAGTTAAATAATACATTTCTCATTATTTTATAGTTATATTTTCAAGTGCTTGATACCTTAAACTTACAACGATACCTAAAAATTCTTGATACCTTAAAATACAACGAAAAAAGATTCTAATTCGACACATATGCCCCAATCTATAATAATAACACTTTAAAGTTTTCGTCATCATAGTAATAACATACTTACTCATTTATCACGTGTAACAACCTCAAATGTATGGTTTTTACGTTACCTGGAAAATGTATTTCGAAAAAGTAAGTCAATCATTTTGAATGAAGTTTGGACTAAAGGAAATTTTTTTATTACCATCATAGTGAGGCATTGTTGTATTTATCAAATTAATTACACACATATTCTTATAAATAACAACAAATCTTAGCCCTTAGAATAATATGTTATACAACTTGTAAGCAAAACTTATTTAAAACGTACCTAAGATTAGTCTACGTTTCTTCAATTGCGTTACTACATTATTACATCTAGAAATTTTGTGTACTCAATGTACATGCTAACTTTTATAAAGTCCAAAAATATTAGGAAGTCAAGACCTGTAAACATAGAGCTGCAAAAGGTTGTATAGGTACTACAAAAAGTAAATAAATATTGAAAATTTCACAAAGCGAGACAGGAAAATTGGTTTTCTGTAAGATATTATACTTTATGTAACTTATTTTTTCATAGAAATTAAAGATGTATCGTTGACCAAATAAGCGATTTCAACAATTTATAATTGATTGAAAAACCATCAATAAGTGTGAGATCTGAAGTTTTATTTTGTGTACACAGATTCTATAACATTCTGATTAATTTTTACAGTTATCACCCTACAAATTGTTATGTGTTTTTTTTTTTACAGGGATCACAACCCACAGCTGAAAAGACTAGGATGTGATGAGAATGATGGAGGTACGAGAACCGAAGATGTTGTCTCTTTTATTGATCTACCACTTAACAGTCTGACAAAGTTACCTGAAAAAGGAATTTTAAAGAAACACGGTGGTTACGGTATTGTAGTCTGACTGATAACATTGTAAAAAATAATTCTCTTGAGAAATAATCAGATAGAACAATACACACACACACACTTATATATATATATATATATATATATATATAAACATATACATATAAAGGCAATCTAAACTTCTCTCTTACGTAGGTATAGCTTACAAAAAAACTAAGATAAAAACGTATCTTAATTTTCAGAAAAACCTGAAACTAGAATTTGAGTTCATATTGTTATTTTTACTGCATCATCAATAATTGCTATTACTGCAAACATTAGTTTATTTCTTACCAGCAGTACATATTTTCTTATTGACGAACATCGTCAGTACATTTAATTTTAAGAGATACCGCATACCGTACGTTACACAGCTTTCTGAATCACAAGAGCTCTGGTATTCCTATAAAATATTTTTCATGGTAGACTTTATCTAATGACTATCTTAAACAGTCTATTTGCTGATTCAGATGTCAGTTTCAAACAACAAATATTTCATTAATGTACTACTTACGACTTAAATTATCGAATCAATACTAAAAATTATCAACTAATACACATGCACGTAAGCGTATTAGTGTGTAAATATGTGTGGTAAGCTTATTTTTCTAGTTCTAGTAATAAATTTAATAAACATGTTTTATTGAAACAAGCAGTCGCAAATAGTGTATTTCAAAAACATAACCTTTTCAAATGTCAAATATTTCTGTGCTCTAGATATTGGTTTAGTAAGAAGTTCTCCTTACATCATTAGTTTTATTTAAAATCTAAGATGTATCTAGAGTATAGATAAGAATTTTCCTTGTTAAGTTTTAATACATTCGTGTATAAGAAAAAACAAATTATAGAAAAACTTTACTTATCTTTCAACAGAAAATTATTTTATTTTTTTAAGTAAAATAGAAAGAAAAATTAATAATACCATAAAAATTCCTTAGTTGATTATTTTTTTCCGTTTGTTCTAAGATTTTCATTTGCGAGTTTAAGCTCGTTTATAGTAGATAAATGTTGTGTATTCACTACTAAGCAGTTCGTTTATCATATCATTTTATTCAATCTTGAAATACAAACAACTTAAAGTAGAATTTTCACGGGCATGGTGTATACGCAGATTTAGTCTGTAAAAAGATTAAGCAAGTAAGCAAGTAAACGTTTAGATGGATGTACATAGATGTACAATAACGCATAGATTATGTATTTTTCTCTTCCTGTAATGAAGATCATCAAATATCACATAATACAACCTTCCTTTTTTTTGTCAGTCTGTTTTTATTATATATAAATATACGTACAAATGTATCCTTTTAATCTTTACTGAGATTACTAATTTGCTATCTTCTGCTGTTGTACTTACACACAGTAGTAGTTTTCTATGAGCGTATACGTACTGTCTAGTTGGAAGTTCTAACGAGGTATTTAAATACCTAGACGTGGCTCTCTTTGTAGCAGTACCTAATGCCATTCTAGAACCAATGATTACTGTTCCCTGTCTGTATTTCTTTGATTGAACGGAAGCATTATACTTAATATTTGAACATCCTAAGACGTTATGTTGTCTTGTAATACAAATTTGTGAAAAAAAGTATTGTTTTATTATTATTTTCTTATACGATCGGGGATAGTGGCCTAAAATAGGTAAGTTAAGGCTTGGAGCCAAGAAAATTAAATATTTGTATAATGATAATGATAAGTCCTATTTTTTTCTTTCTTAGAAAGGGCACATTAAGCTTTTGAATCAATAAGCAAAATTGGATAAGTGTCTACTAAGTTCCAGGTTATGATTTAAAATAAAAATATTATTTAAATAATCGCTTTCTGACAGGAAAGGAGCCCTAAAGTAGGTATTTCGTTTGGGCAAAGCCGACATGTACTACAGCGAAGAGGGAAATGCTTTATTTTATTGTTTAAATGATAATTGTAGTCTAATTTGTTTAGTCTTTAATAGCTTAAGGGATTTTTCAACCAAAATATAGCAATATTTAGATATAAATATTAAGTTGGTAACTCCAGAACTTGATAATAGTAACACATATTTAAAAAATGTTTAAAGCAAGCATTTTTGTGACGTACATATCTCTTCTCCCCACTCATATTTACTCACCATCTCAAAAAAATTCAAAAAATGAGTAGTAAATTATGTTAGTTTAAATGATATACCTGCTAGGCAGTCTGCTTAGCTCATGCACACGTTTTTTGTTTAAGTTATGCTTAACTCAAAAATTTCAAGACCAAACGCTACTTTTTTTAGCTAAATTTAACTTTCAATTGAACTTAATAAAAAGATACTTATAAACAATAAAAGAAGTGTATAATAACAGTTTTTGACTGATCACAAAAATTAAACCTTTGATTTTTTAAATTAATTATTATTTTTTCAAAATATACGTCTAATTACGTGATACCACTGTGTTATGGCTTATTCAGGACCGAGAAAAACTAGGAGGTACTAGGGTAACTTCAACATACCCACACCTTGTCCCTCGTGTTTAGTGCGCCAAGCCAGAGTCTACCCTAAAAAAAGTTATAAATAGTGTATTAAAAACATTTTCTTCATCATTACTTGTCTCTTCCTTACTTGAATACTTTAACAAGACGTTTTTCATAATTAATTGTTATAACTTAATTTAAGAAGTATAAAAATTTCACTTGCTTAAAAAAAAAAATTCGTTTGTATTTATTAATTTTAAATTAACACGGAAAAATATCATGTAATTATTTGCTTTATTAAGTAAAGTTTTCTACATGATTTTCTCTATAAATAACAATATACTGCTAGTAACGATGCGTATATTAAATCAAACACATAAATTTTTTAATAAAGCTCATCTGTTACACTAAATACATTGTATTAGTTGCGTTTAAGTCAATCGTAATGGCCTAATTTTTGAATGGAACAAATATATTAGAGAAAGTTATTATACTATGTCATGTAGTAGGAGTAAAAAATATGCTCAAAACTTATTTCTATGGTGACTCTTGCGTAAATAAATATCTGTTTCTTTTGATAACTAGACGTTACTTTAAATGTATTTTTAGTTCTTCCATCTATACTTGTGAAATGATTTACTTATAAGATTTCTTTCTAATTTATGCCCCCTTTTTTATTAATGCGGCATTCAGTTGGTATGAAAAAATCATTTTTATGCTTGCATCTAGATAAAACCACATATAACTGACTTTAAAAAAAAGGTATCTCTAATTGTAATCAAATATTATTAACAATGATGAGTTATAGAAAAAACAAAAAAAACTTTAAGATAGGGATAAAAGTCCAGTAAAATAACACCAAAATATGGCACATTTGACAATTTTTTTTTTTTGTAGTCAAAAACTCATAAGAAACAAATAACTACTTTTTCTGACAACAACCAGTCGAATAAATAGAAAGGTATATCTTCTAATGTACTCTTATAGACACACACGTGCACAGAAATTTTCGAAAATATGTTACTTTGAAGGAAGTTTACAAAAATTTACGAATTTATTCGATTTTAAACTTAAAATATACTAAAATAACATTTACATGGATACAGATGATAAAAAAAAATTTGTCCAGCTTTGTGGAGCTTCACTCTCTACATGCTCCACGTGACGACCCCTAACTACCAGACAATAATACAAGATAATAATTGACTACCATGTAGTGACTTAACACTTTAAATAGAGTTTTATTTCAATTATGATATACGTTGATTGTATCAATAAATGTTTGTATTAATGAGAAATAACAAATTACTCTAAACTTTGTTATTTGAAATTCAGAACTAGAACAAAGTATCTGCTCTATATCATTTTAAGTAATACATACACTTTAAATTGAAAAATTGATAGTAAATAATTGTTTTTAATCTGTAAAAAAAAGTAAGAAGTAAAAAAACAGTTTTTATTTTAATATGGTCACAAATGTTTTTTTAAAACTAATATAGAGCTAAGTATACGTAGAAAAACATTATTCAGAACTTTAAGAGTATATTACGAAATATAAAATCTTCAAAAAAAATGCTATCGCTGTGAGTTTGGTAAAGATCAATTGTATATTTAATCATATATTTAGAAAGAATAGTGCCATAATGCTTTTTTAAATTAAAGCAATTTTTGATGGTCTTAAGTTAAAACGATTTTAAAAATTTCTTTATAGAAAACTTCAAGAAAATAAATAAAGCTTATTTCTAGAAATAAAGCTTTAATTTAGAAAATAAGTTTTGTCATACATTTAACGTATTAATACCAGAAAAGAATGCTTTATACTAACATTAAATCACTAAAAAACTCGTACAATCACAGTAGCACAAGGGTTAAAGCTGCAGCTCTTCTTACTCGGTGGGCTTAGTAATGCATGCTCTCGAGTTCAAGACCCAGCCTTTACTCACTTAGCTTGCACTTCTGAGAATCTACTTTCTCATGTAAATCTTACAACTGTGGGCCACTTGTTTGGATGCCATGTGAAATAAGGTCCACTTTACTGTGCAGGTCATTTATGTCAAAGCTTATTATTTTATTCCTCATAAAGCATAATGGATTCATGGCTTACACAAGATTTACATCCTTTTAACTTTTAAAAAGTGTGACTAGCAGTATAATTTTTGGTTTAGCATAACATGTAACAAGTAAAAATACTGTCTTATAACGATCGGAATAAAAAAAAAGTAGTTTTAAGGTAATTGTTTCCCAATATATAGGTCGCTCTTACACACACACACACACACACACACACACACACACACACACACACATATATATATATACACACACAACATACGTATATCATCCGGTATTTAAAACAATAGAGTGAAAAGTGAAAGCCTTTGCGTATACTTATACATACATTAACATATACATCTATCTCCTTGTATTTATATGACAATGTGACGTTACTACATACGTGACACTTACTTGGTTATCTTCCAAGATCACACAAAGAGCTCACTTAACAAAACATAAATTTTGTAATTTTTAAGAACCCTACAATATTTAAAAACGATCTGATGCAAACTTCTTGCAAACCATCAAACAAATTTTAAAACCTCCTTCTGAAAAACGGCTCTAAAACAGTTGTTAGATC